ACTCCATAGGTGGGACATTGAAATTATTTACAAATGGTGGCCATAATCTTCAAAAAATACTCAAATTTCCCACAATTTTCTGCACGATGCTGACAAAAGCGGTTATCTAACAAAGTAGCTAGCGTACTCGGCTGCCTCCTTCGGAATGCCATCATTAGTAAATTCTCCAGTAATAAGGTCAGTCACAAGAACTGCAGTTTGCACAATGCCTGCTTGCTGTTTTCATGGACTCAGTGTCGAGATAGCAGGCGCCCACTACTCCGCTCTGAATCCAGTCCATTTCCATTGGTCGTTTTAGATCTTAATCTCACAAAACCGGAAAGTCGAATGCACTTGTGGAGTAAGATGAGGAAGATAGTGCGTTATGTTTACCAGTTCCGGAACGATTATGACTACTTCTACAAAGCTGATGATGATACTTATATGTTTGCGGAGAACCTGGCCCATGAACTGAGCCGAAGAAACCCCGACGAACCATTCATGATGGGACGCCGCTTTCGCGTAAGTCATTTTAGACTAAATTGTCATGCATGCATTCTGATTTTAAGCAGGTCCCATTACTGTTTAAACAACTTTTTGCAGCTTTCAACGTTCCTTCTAGCTTAATCGGCAGTGGGTGTTTCCAATGTTAGAATTCGGGCCTTAACTTAAGTGAGGACTCTTAACAACAATGAAGAGGAAAACCGGAATGGCTGCTACTGGTTCACTTACCAGCCAATCAAGACAAAACTACAGGCCTGGAAAGCCTTAGTCACGAACCTGCTATCGTCGCTTCCAGAGCATAATACATTGCCGTTTGGTCAGGAGCTTTTAAACTGTAGACTAGACTCCGAAATCCTAAGAGTAATGTGCGAATAGCAGTCACGGATTCAGCGCGATTGCGGAACGGAGTATGGCGTTTCGTTTTGCCTTGGAGCTCCTGCCGCCTGCCTCTGTTCGTATGCAATTGCCCTTTCAACTGAGGTTCTAATTAGAGTAGATGGGCTAACTCATGAAATGTTGACCGAAATTGTGAAATACGTCTTCGATTCGAAAAGATGTACTTAAGTAGGAGTATAATATTAATCGCCGTGCAGCATAATCCAATGGAAATTAAGTTGCATCAGGATGCCGGCTTTTAAATAAATTTCGTTATGGCCGCCGGCAAGCTACACAGTAAAATATTACTATTTTTTCATCATGAAATTTTTCTACTGATTATCGGTGACCATATACATTTAATTATATTTCATCGAAGACATGCACAAAAATATTCATACTTTTGGTAGAAAATTACGTCTTGTTTAAACATGATACTCGAGGAAAGAGTGTAATTCGATTTTGAAAAAAACGTTTATAATTATGAGATTTTTTAAGACCGTGAAATTCCCGTTCATATAATATCGTATCTTTGCTTTTACTAACGTTGATTGTTAAGTTGCCAATACGACTCACATCCACTACTAATTTTCCATATCCCCATAAAGACTCCTCTTAATACTCTATAAAAATGTATGACTCTCCATACACGGAAACAATACAGCTTGTAGTTTCGAAACCCTGAATGCAAGTGTAACGGAAGGTTGGGTTCAAAATTACTCGGGGATTGGAAGAGTGTTTTCTAAACCTAATTACGCCCTTTTTTCTATTATAAAATTTAAAGACTAAATAAGTTGTCTAGAAATTTAATTATATTTCATAGAAGGCGTACGCAAAAAATGCTCATTTTTTACTCA